ATCGGAACGAAGTTACGGAAAGTTAATTAGCAAATGGAGACGTAACAATATAAAGTATACCTCATATTTCGTAATAACAGATATTGTAATTTTAATCAATGTTGAAAATTGTTATAGCGCCTGAATAACTGCTCAATCAATTTTACATGAACGATATAATACTGTTTAATTAAGCAAGAGGAAATGAATCTTAAGTTGAACAGTTATGCTTTTTCGTGTACGAAGCTTCAAGATTTTCCATATTTACTTTTCGATCCTATACTTCTGATTTATGAGTATTTTTTAATGTGACCTCGCAGTTACCCCCCCCCCCCCTTCCCCAGTGGCACAACGATATGTCTGCGGACTTACACCGCTAGAAATCCGTGGACACGTTATGAAAACTATAGTCAGTCCCTCTTTTTGTTTAAGAGTGGCCGTGTGGAGAGTGGTGTAAGGTGCTTCTGATTAGTTGCACTCTATCTCTCTTGTTAGAAATTCTAAATTAACAACAGCTATACCCGAGCTTTGTGGTCTCTGACTTGGCCGCCTAGCCCATGAGTTGCTTAACGTTCCGGTCATGTTGAAAACATTAAAATAGCGTTTTAATGCTGCTCATTTGCGGTACTTGGTTATCGCCAAATTATTTTAATCAGTTCGAAGTAACATCACAGCCGTTCGAGTGGTTTCTTAAGAACATATTAAAACATATTATCTGAAAAATGCTTCGGTCTACATATTACCCATATATATATATATATATTTTTTCAGAGCTACTTATATAACATGTTTTAAGATTATTTTTACCTAAAGCTCTCACCTAGTACCTCATCCTCCATGGTACCTTGGAATGTAATTTTAAACATTAGTGTTTGCTTGATTTGTTTCTGATTTTCAAATGCAAAAGAATGGGCTTATCTTAAGTTAGGATTAAAATTAAAGAAATTGTAGGAAACGATTAGAACTCCCATCTTATTATTTTCTTACGTTGTTCGTTTTCTCTGATTCTAAATTAGGATCCAAGAAAGAAAATAATCAATTAAGCAAATAAAAATGTTTAGTGTGTTATTAGGCTAAATTCACAAATACATATTTTGACATACAGTTATAAACTGCTTTATTTTATTTAAACAATATATTAGTTTTTGATCATATAATTTTTTTTACTATACATAATCGAAAGCGCCATCTAGTAGATAAACTGTAGCATTTGGCTTAACCATTAGATTCACCGAGACTTGAGAGATAAAAGTTACTTGTGTGAGACGTGCTGTTGGTCGATGAGGTTTGTGTAGTAGTTGCGGTATTTTTGATTTGTGTTAATGGTAGAATATTTTAATTTTTTTCCTCCTGTGTGTAGTTGTTGGAGATAACATAAATATACGAAAGTTTCATAATTATTGCCAGAATAGAAACTGTAAGAAAGCAGTGTGGTAAGTAATATTATTAATATAATAAATAGTAAATGGTTTATTGTATTCGATATTTTAATTTTAATATATGTTATTAGTATTAATATTAATAGAAATACGAAGTGAAGTTTATCTCAAACAGAAAATTACCATCATCATATTTGTAACTGCATAAACTATAACTTATAAGTTTAGTTTTGTACTTTATTTGAGATGACAGGTAGCTGTAGCCTACTTTAATTTTGAGTACCACTATTACTATTACTAGTATTACTATTAGTTACTACTACTCATTGTACTGGTAGTAGTACTAACTTAAGTCTTAACTACATATGATATCACTGTATCAAAATAATAAAAATATATAATTCAAAGAAACACCAATAATACTATAATAATAATGTTGGCAAATACAGTAGATGTAATTATATTTGTAATTGTTTTTGCTAGTGATACGTTCATCACTGATCGTTGCTATGTAACCATTTTAACTCAATAAAGTGTCATGTTAGTGATACAGTATTAATTTTAAACAGAAAATCTAATTTCTTAGCTGTTTTTGAAACATTTAATTTATGCAGATAATCAGTTTATAATTTTGTATTTATCATAAGTGTTAACTTTGACATTATTCAGAACCACAAACCAGGTCAGTATCTCATTCTGACTTGCAAGGCTGCAAGTAAAATTCATGGGAAACTTCTACGAGAAACATTTTAGCAAAATGTGATTGCATTGTGCAGAGTAAAATCAACTTCACTTTTGTAGCATAGAGTATATACTATTATTGAAGGCTGGAAATTAAGGGCCTCTTTTTTAAGTAATATTTACTATAAATTGTAGAAGAATTGTTTATATTAATAATATTTAGATGTCTATAACAATATAAAAATGTAACTTTTGTTTGCTTCTCAAGGTTTCTTCAGCTAAAAGAACTTGACTTTACCTATGGATCCACAAAACTCAGTGGCTCATCTTGAAATTTCTCTGTCTAGGCAGATGTTTTAGTTACTTTAATTGCGACATTATGTCCGTAACTGGTCAAGCATTACTGTGTCATCCTTACGTCTTGGAGCCCCACAAGCCCAGTGTGACTAGCTTTACATATAATGAACCTTACTGTGACTCAAGTGAAATGGACACAAGCAATATAGGACGTGAATTACCCTGTAAGTCTGTGTCATCTAGGATTACTGGACCCTCATGTCAAGCTCTGCGGCATGCAGTAGCAGCCCTAAATCGATTAGATGATTTTACATGTGAAAAAATTGGCTCGGGGTTCTTTTCAGAGGTGTTTAAGGTAAGTTGAAGAAATTTAGTTTGAGTTTCTTGTAGATCTGAATTTGATATGTAAAAAAATTGTTGTGATTTTAGAATCAAATAGATAATTCAACAACCACTCCAAATAAAATATAGTACTGTCTGTATGTAATATTTTATTCATGTTAGCTCAAGAATCACAGGCTTTTTGGGAAAAATTAAGTTTATGGCATACACACACACTATGAATCATTTCATCGTTTATTTTCAGAAAGTAAGCTAACTATGTTGACCAGAACTGGAAAGTAACTTACAAGATAATGAAGCCAATTCTAATTATATGTATATACACATGCATATAATTTAAGGACACTAAACTAAACTTTAATGAAAAATAAAATATTTAAAGCCAATCCTTACCATTCAAATATTTTTCAAGCTTTTCCATAAACTTGATTTAATTAACTGCATCTGAAGGCAATCTATTCCAAAGGCTAACCACCCTACTAGAAAAATAAACTTGTCCTAGGTGAAGTTAAAATAACATAATGTTTTGAGACAACATGGGACCTATTGTTCCATCCTCTAAACTAAATCAAAATAATTTTAAAGAATCTTAAAACCAGCCCTTATCATTCATATACTTATCAAGCTTTTTCTTAAACTTACTTAAATTTACTGCCTACAACATCTAAAGGCCAACCACTGTGTTAGAAAAATATAACTCTCTTAGCTGAAGATAACTCCTACCCTGCCAAAATTTATATTTGTGTCCCCTAGTCCTACTATTCTCACTGTTAAGTATGAAAAAAAGATGGTGCATAACACTATCAATTCCCTTTACAATCTTAAACACCTCAATCAGATCACCTTTAACTCTTCTTTTTTTCAAGAGAAAACAATTTGAGAGATTTCATCCTCTCCTCATATGACAACCCCTCCATACCAGGCACCCTTCTCTGAACCCTTTCCAACAGTTCAATGTCTTTCTTAAGGTAAGGAGCACAAGACTAAACACAATATTCCAAATGTGGCCTAACCAGTGACCTCTACAATGAAAGTATAACTTCTTTAAACTTCCTATCTTTTCGAAATTTATATCTGTGTCCTCTAGTCTTATCGTTAATTGTGAAAAAAGATGACGTACCAACACTGTCAGTTCTCTTGACATCCTGAAACACCTCCATCAGTTCCCCTCTAACATTTCCTTTTTTTTAAGTGAAAACAAAAGTATTGACATCAATAAATATAAAGAAAACTAAAACATGTACTGATTAAAATACATTGAACTGTCATTAAGTACCTTTCCAATTAGCATTTTTTTGGCTGTTTTCCCAAGTTTCATCTAGCTCAGAAAATTTAGATTAGTCATAAATCCGTGTACTAACCTAACAATGTAAAATAATTTTCAGAAGCATAAAAATCAGCAATAATAGTCTTCAAAAGTAGTTTGAAAATTATAACTAGGAGTATAAGTGAAACTAATTTTAATTAATAACGGAATCTGTCAGACTAATATTTCCCATTATTTTCTTATTGGCTAATATTTAAAGAGCATATGGCTATGTTTTATCACTTTTAGAAGAATTCTCTTCAGCATACTTAATAGTGCAAGTTCATACTCTTCAACAAAATTGGGATAACTAATCTCTCACTCAATAATACTGCCGAGATTTGTTAAGACCATGTGCATTCCGAACATACCCCAAGTCTAATTTTATAATACTTACCAAAGCTTTGTTTCAATGATCACACTCCCAATTGAGCTTTTTAATTTACTGAATGGGAGAGTAGTTTTAATAATGTCCTAAAAATCATAAACTAATTAAAAACCAGGCTGAATTAAAGTAAACATATTTATAATAAATATATCCCATAGTTATAACCCAACTTGTAATTCAGTCAACATTTAGTTGCTTAAATATTTCCTTGTCATCCTTAGTAATTTGATCAATTGATTCTTAAAAAATGGTAATAAAGAACTTGTGCTCTTTTATAAAGAACTTGAAATTAAACACCTACACAGAATTCCTAACCTCAATGATTTCTCATCTCTCAACAAACAAGATTTTACAGTTATATAAAAAAGAAAAAAATGTTCAAATCAATATTGGTTGTGTGAAAATGTTACCCCTATCCAAATGTATGTTAGAAAATGTATCTAAGAGCTTCCTTAAAAAGTTTGTTCTCATCCTGCCCCAGGTGCAATCTATTTGTACTTACATAATTTTAAGTTGGTCTTCAAATTGAGTTAGCTTACCTTCTACTTGGCTCAAACTCAAGAAAAAAACTTGTCTAGCCTTTGCCCCTACTAAAAGCTCTGTATTTGTTGAAGAACTTCCCAGAAGAACTAGTCGATGTTTTTTATTGTTAAGTTCCAAATAAAATAATTGTTTTACTTTAGTGGTCTATTAAACTTGCATCTTCTCAAGTCATCAGCTCACATAAAGAGCATGCCACTTCAACTTTAAAATTTGTTGAACTTTGATTTTAAGTAAGCAAACCATTGTCTTGTGAGTCTCTTTGTACAGTCACGTGCAAACTTTATTTTATTGGACCTAAGTAGCCAGTTTCCAACAATTTCAACATCATATTCTGCACCCCATCACTTTATGTCAAGTACATTTAGATTTCAATGGAAGTGACTCAACACAACCAAATAAAGAAGTTGACTTAGTACACATAGTATTATACTCTTCCAATGATTTAGTAACAAATGAAATTTTACAATAATTTATTTTGTAGCTATTAATAATCTTGCCTCTGTAAATAATTTCTAGGCATTTGCTAATGTGCTTGGAATGGTCGTGTATAATTTGATATAATTGTTTTAAGATTGTAGTCTACATAGGATTCTTCATTATTTTACGACAAATATCTTTATAGAAAGCTAGAACTGTACAAAAATAAAACTTGATGAAATGTAGTATATATAAAAAACTCTTTACCTATAAACTCATAGGTTAATTGTGAAAGTGATTTAAAAAACAATACAGTGTTTTGTTGTGTTTTTTTGTGTTCCCTTTTATTGAAAGCAAGATAATTATTTACAGTGTTGGTTATTTTTGTACAAATTAAGTGTTTTTGTGATATAAAAAACGTAAATAATTACTCTCAAAAAGTTTATCTTTCACAATAAACCATCAAAAAAATTAAGAACATGTGTAAAGAAAACATCCTTAGGTCTTAATGGAGTCTGATGAATATTTGAGACTTCAGATGAGCACCTTTTGTGTGTTTTAAGTAATTGAAAAAACATTCTATGATCATACCATATAATTTCTTGTAAAATGTTCTTCAGACTCGGTCATTTCTGAGTTAACTCCATCTTAAAATATTGAGCCCCATGTATACATAATGCTAAGCTCAATTAGACTTAAAAAAATTGTAAAATAAACATAAAATATGTTTTTAAGGATAACCATTAAATGTTCTGAAATTGGTGACTGTTTTATTTATAATATAAATTATAAGTAAAAAGTTTTTCTAAATGTGACAGATGCTGTTGAGTTTTCTGTCAGTCAGTTATATATAATCATAGAAAGTGTAAATGTTTACTTCAATACTGTGGGAATAGATCTTATCCCACACACTAATGTTTTACTACTGAAGTTAAGTATCATAAACATTTCCTACTGAGAAAATACATACTTTAGTCATCAACCTATACAAGGAAAATAAACAAATTGTTCTTCTGTTTGTCATTGTCAGTGCTGCCTGTGTGAAAGTGCATTAGATAAAATAACAAAGTTTAAGGACAACAAGGGGCTTATTGGTCTGTCTAGGCTGTCCCATTACCAAAATAAACTCAGAGCAAATCCTTATCTTTCAAATATTTATTAACCATTCCCTTAAACTCCCTGAAATTTACTATGTCAAACAAATGTAAGGCTGCCAGTTTCAAAAATAAATTTAAAAATCTTGTTTAAACTGCTACAGTGCAGAGTGTAACAAAAAATAAATTCAAGACCAAAAAAAGGTCTTGCAGACACTAACTTAAAAACTCAATGTAGGATCTCATTTAACAAGTCTGTATTAAAAGTTAACTAATGGGACCAATCTCCGACATTTTGTTTTACATAATTTACAAAACAGACCATAGACCTTGAAGAAAATTCTATCACAACCCATATTAAAATGTCTAGGACTTTTAAATTAAACTTACATTTTTCTGGAATGTTTGTTCATAAAACATGCTTACCAGCAGAAATTTCAACAGACTCAGATCTTGGGAGGCAAAAGATTGGTGATGGCTAGCATGAAATATAAACAAATCTGTATGTATATTTTATTTATTTCTTTATTGTGCAAATTATCTATTGCAGAAAATATTTATTGAGACTCCAAATCCAAAACTTTTCCATGACCATGACCAAACACAGCTGTTTTTATAGGATTTCTAGCACTCTAATTTTTAGAGCTTATTTTCCAGCACTGCGATGCATCATCTTTTTTCATACTTAATGGTGACAACAGAAAAGTTTTGCTTTGTTAGGAGATACTGACATTTTTTCCATAACTTCTTGCTCATCTTGTTTTAATGATTGTTAAGCTCTGGTTTTAACTGCTTTATGACTTGTTAAGCCTGTGAATACTAACTTATTATAATATATTGTTTGTGCTAGCTGATTTGTAATAATCATGATCATTGGATATAACTCAAGAAATGTCTCTTCATATCAACGTTATGGCGGCTGTTACCATATCAACTTCATTTGAGTTTGTATTATTGCAATAGTGGTGGCCATTTTTTTTCCATTGCATTTCTCCATAGACAGTGATATATGAGATGTTTGTGTGTTATCACCACACTGTATGTTGTGTTGTAGATAACTTAGTGTGTGTGTTTTCTCACAGCAAAGCCACATCAAGCGATCTGCTGTGTCCACCCAGGGGAATTGAACCCCTGATTTTAGTATTGTAAATCTGAAGATTTACTGCTGTCCCACTGAGGAATTGAAAATGTAAAAAAAAAAATAAGTTTGATATAAGAACCTGACACTATATATGAATGTTGTTAACATTAACTTACCTCTAAGA